TGATTCTGCAGTCTCATCTGTTCTCAGTAGCTACGTGGCATTGTGCAGTGGCATTATGCGGGCTGTTCTCATGAACTGTTAATACTTAAAACTATGAAAAGTGAGGCACTACAATTTATATATTATCCAGGACGTGCAGGACTGCCTCTAAGGAAGTCAGGTGACGTACTACAAAGAGCAACATGGACAAGTCTAACACGACTTTTACCCAGGAGACTGCTGTTCGTGTCCCGAAATCAAGAGTCAACTTTGATTTATTTTGCCTTGGTTTTGATGTAATTTATACAAATTAACAAAACAGATATTTAAACCCAAACCACCATCTTTCCTAAACGTACCAAGTAGTTTTGTTGCCTCCACAGGTTTGGCACTCCAGGGAAACGCATAAACCCTGAACATCTAAAAATGAACTACAGACTTGAGAATTGCTCACAGTGTTGAGAGAATAATAGTTTTGGGACCAAAGCTACTGAGAATAGACTTGACTTATCATTGTCAGGTAATAAACTTCTGCATACTGAGCCAGTTGCTGCTCACATTTTCCCATGAGAACAGTGAGTTTGGGATGGAAAAGACCCGGCTGGGATTAATACAGCAGATGTGTCCCGATGCAGTCGGGACTAGTTACTAGCATCATAGAGAACCAGAGCTTTCATGCGGATGTCTGACATTCTAGGTTTGCTTTTTGCCCCCCGAACCAGAGATGACTTTCATTAACCTGCTTCCTGTAATCCGATCCGATGAAGAGTTGCAGGAACGACAGCAGGAGAGCGAAGGAGGGACACAACGGAGGATGTGAGTCACATTCAAACCCCCGACCCTGTGACTCTGCGGTTTCGGTCCGGGCTCTTGGGAGAGCTGCTTTTAAAGATCTGCCGCTCTGATTGGACTTACAGGAAAGGTGATTTTCGCCAGTGGCAGTAAATTGTGGGAGTCTGTCAAAAGTGCAATATCTGCAGATTCATGCTTTTTCAACTTTCCAGAATGAGCTATTTCTGTCTTTCTATTCTCAAACTGTGTCTGCAGACAAACAAGGAAACAAATTAATTTTCCATTATTTTTTTTATACAATTCTTTAGTGTTATGTGTCTAGATACTACCTGAGATTCTTGCCATTTTTTTGTTACTTCCATCATTTTGTATAGACCCCAAATACATTTTCTGTCGTGTTTTTTTCTTTCTGTCTGTCTGAGTAGCTCAAAGTAACAAAGCAGATGTTGCAATCTAATGTCTGGGAGACACATTAGCTTTCTCTCCTGTCTCCTCCTCTCATCTCTGCCTCTCCTCTGCCCTATTTTCCACCACTTTCCTCCTCCCTCCACCTCAGCATGCTCTCTTTTCATCACTCTCCTCTGCTTTCTAATATTTCCTCTCTACAAGCATAGAAGGTCTGGCTGAAGGCTAAATCATTGTCTCTGTATTTCATATCATGTGCAACCAAAATATTTTAAACTGTCATAACCTCTTGACCTCTTCATTTCCCCCCTGAATGTCTCACTATCAGTCTGTGAATGTGGAAAAAAACTTGATCACCAACAATATAGACTGTTTTATTTTGTATCAGCACTTCATTGAAGCTACCTCAACGCTTACTAAATATTAAAACCCCAACCCAGTCTCCAGAAAATATGCTGGCATTGTACGTACAATGCCACGTTGTAAATGTTGTTAACGATTGGTTAGGTTCTGGTTAAAGTTAGAAAAAAGATCATTGTTTGTGTTAAAATAATAACAACATAGAGTAACAACGTAGCGCAACAACGTAGCGCAACAACGTAGCGCAACAACGTAGCGTAACAAAGTAGCGTAACAAAGTAGCGTAACAAAGTAGCGTAACAACATAGCATAACAACGTAGCATAACAACGTAGCCCAACATACCCTCCACTCTAATTGCATTGTGGGTAACGTAGGCACCAGGTTTTGACAAGGAAGAAGAATATGTGGAACATCCAACATGCTGTTCAGAAGGATGTCAACGCTGCAGGAAGTCTCTGCTGCTGCTAGGGTTAGGGTTATGGTTATGATGAGAGTTTTGGATTGGGTTGGTATTTCACGCTCTTAACTCATGTTTGAAGACCAAAGAAAATCACTCACCTGCACCAGCCCACAACTCCAAAAGTCTGCAGCGAAGTTGGCTGCTCTTCGCTGGTTGCATGACAACTTTAGAAAAGTCTGAGGTTGGATCAGGACTTTTGACCAAATCCCACTACTTTCAATGAAAGTAGTGGGATTTACCAGTGTAAAACTGTCCTGTATTAACACTACCTAAAATTAGGATTTTATGTTTTTAGATGTATAAATATCATATTCATGTATTCTATTGTCAATCTGCAAAAGTGCAGCAGAACAGGATAATCTGGGAGTGGCTCAACAACATTCTAAAGGCATTAATGGTAATATAGTCAGTTTGGCTTGTCCGAATCTGAGTGATATTAATATTTTTGTTTTTGTTTTTATTAAGTCTGGTTCAGTTTCACAGTGCACAAATTAAACCGGACCAAACTAAGAAATAGATTTGCTGACATGGCACCCATCAACTGTGCGCAATAATCTATTCTGCTCCAGTTTATCTCGAATGATTTTATTTTTCTATTTAGCATATTCTGTGTCTTCTCTTCGGCCCAGATGTCATCTGTAGTCCAACTCAGTCTCACACTCATGTTAACCTGTCATGACTATCTCAAGACATTACCGCACGGCAGCCCGTAATCCCCAATGTTGTGGTTCACTTCGATTGGGTCAAATTACAGTATGTTCTTACTGCAATTACTGCAATCACAACTGCCCAAAGGACCTGCACCCTTTGTTCCTCTACACCAGATAATGTAGGCTTGTGAAAGTGCACTTTAAGATGTACATCTTCGGTAGGAGCTGATAGACAGAGTAGGGAAGCCATAAAGTATTGAGAGATTGACCTACACATTGTTGGTTTGGGTCTTTTCATGAGCTTTGTTGACAATAAGAAGGGCAAAGAACCACACCAGCTGTGTCATTTCACACATCAGCTTGGCAAGGAAGTACTGTACATGCTTCACTTCCAGTCAGATGATGCTGAACTTCATGAAGGTGTTGTGGCAGGTTGTATCATCTAAAGGTTCAGTTGACCTCTCTGATGTCCATAAAAGCCCCACAAGCTTCCTCTGGTCTCACTTTGAGTTCTGAGTTTGTTCTTCTTTCCCCCTCCTTTCTTGTGACCTCCGACACTTAACCTTAACATGCATCCCTGTCACTCTCTTTCTTTTGCTCTGTCTCCTACCTAGCTATCTTTTCCTTCCTCTACTCTCCTTACCTTTGTCTTTCCTCCTCCTTTTCACTCTTAACCAAAACCATCCACCATTTTTACTTTCTTTCTTCAGTCCTCCCTTTCCACAGACTCCTTTAGTCAATTTTCTGTCACCTCCTCTCATTTCGTACCTCTGAGTGAGTGTTCATTTTCATGATAACCTTCTAAACTCTCTCTCCCCTTCTTTTTCTCTCTTTGTGCATATTTTTAGCTCAGTGGTGGTCAGGAATGTGTATACAGATGCCGCTGATATCTTTAAACCAGTCAACATGCAGTGTGTGTGTGTGTTGTAAAATAGACATTATGCTCTGTGAACTTGATAGCACTGTGTTTTTGAGTGTTTGTTTGTGTACCTTTAATTATATCATTTTGAGGACCACGTAGACATTTTCAAAAGTAAGGACATTTTGGCGGGTCCTCTCTTCTTCAAAGGCCTGTTGGAGGATTCAGACTTGGTTTTAAGGTTCAGGTTAGAATTAGGTTTAGATAAGGGTTAGGGTAAGGTTTGGGGTTTGGTAATTGGTTGTGATGGTTAAGTTATAAGGTAAGGGGCTAGGAAATTTCAATGAGGGTCCTCACTAAGATAGAGGTACAGGGATATGAGTGTGTATGTGTGTGGTCTTCATGCTTTCAGACATTCAGACCAAGTGGTTCAAGACAGTCGTACAGAACACACACACACCCACACACACACACACACACACACACACACACACATTCAGTCTTTCTGAGTATGCAGTTGAAGTGAATGCCCGCCTTTCTACTGCATCCTGCTTGGTGGTCACTTACCACACACACACACACACACACACACACACACACGCTCACACACACATGCATCACACACAGACGCGACCACATAAACATGATGGTTACATAACTTTTTATGTCATCTCCAGAGGAACCAATCAGCTTTACTGGAACACAAATCATGCTTTTGTCGTCAATATATTGTTTATGTCCATATATTTTGTTTTGTTTGAAACTTTCTCTTTTCTAACTTATGTACTCTTTCTGTGAACTGTATCTTATTGTGTGTATCTTACTGTACCATTTAGATAGGGAGCCAGGAGTTGTTTTGCGATTCATATTTCCCCTTGAAAATTGGTGTGCGTGTCAGGCTGAGTTCTCTGGAGAGTCCAGTAGCAACCATGTGTCCAGAGCTGCAGAGGGCCCATAAACTTGTCCATGAAGTGGAGCTATTTACTTCCCTGTGCTTGCCTGTTTGAAAATGTGTTATTGTTAGACGTGTGTTCATTATTTGAGTGCATTTTTAGTCTGGGTTGAATGACTATGCAATGATCTAAGAACAAACCAGTCTAGAGTGAAAACGTCTCTCTGTAATGAAGTCTTATCAAACACCCGTTAACGGTTTTATAGGAGTCTAGGTGGGACTCTCCAACATGTATTGGTCTGTGTCCTGAGGTTCACCAGCATCTGGCTGGAGCTTATTTTCCACCCTGGAATCCTTCCAGTGGCTCCTCTGCTTCCAGGAAAACTAAATCAACCCCAGAAATAATGCCCACATTAGGCTGGACAAGCACGAGACAGACGCAGGAGAACGAAAGGAAAAGAAAAGGAGAGAGAGGCCGGAGTTTATTCATTTGTTTTCAAATAGTTTATTATAAATTAACAAAACGAAAAGGTAAACTTGTGGTAAAGCCGTTGAAATCAACCTTGTCTTGGGATTTTCTTCAACAAGCAATGTTTGAAAATGGTTTTAAATAAATGGACGTCAATGGTAGATGAAGCAATTACTGTACCAGAGTTAGAGCTTCCATTCCTGTACCATACACAAAGATAGGCTGCTGAGTTCATGGTTCTTTCATGGCCGTCTGAAACAACCCACTCCCAACTCGTTAAATACGCTTGGTCAGTGCCCTTCTGCATCTTGATACCAAGGCATCGAGGCACTCTTTTGCATCTATATGAGACCCACAGGGCTTTCAATTAACGTCAGCTTAAACCCATTCGCCTCATTATTAGAAGGGCAGAGCCACTGATGTAGTATAGAGTGGATGGATCGAACAACCACAGGACTTTCACCCAGGAGACCGCTGTCAGTGTCCTGTGTGAAACAAAGTTTACTTATTTTGACCTGTGTACTTTGCTAATGTCAGGAACATTACAACGCACTTATTTGAACCCAAACCACAATCTTTTCCAACACCTAACCAAGCAGTTTTGTTATGAACTGAAAACTAAGTAAGTCTACGTTGGAAGTTAATTTTGAAATATGACGTGTCAAAAAACTGACGCGAGGGGAACTTAGAGCCTTATTGTTTGAAGTGTAGAGCTGGAAGTGAGATTGTGTTGCCTTAAAGGGGAACTCTACACTTACCTGCTGCACTTCCATAAAGTTAGGTGATTTACAAGACACAAACTGAAAAATAAAAGGTAAAAATGTATGCAGCGATGCAAGATATCTTGACTTCTAGCCCTAAACTAGATCCTACATATCCCACAATGCAACCAATAGCATCTTTTCATCCTGCCGGGTCAATGTCCAAGTCTTTCTAACTTCACATTGAGTTCACATTTGAGCATCGACGTTATAAACAAGCTAGTTCTAAAGTTATAATTATTTTAAATTTTCAACTCAAGGTAAACAAAATGTCAACACATGCCCTTACATTGTAGTCATCATAAACCTCATTCTCCCAGACAAGTTTAATAATTCTTCCCCATAAACACTGCAAAGTTCCCCTTCAATAACAGTTAAAAACCACATATTTCGTACGTACTGGATCAATTCCACTTTAGAGGCAGAAAGCTTCGATGAGCATTGCCGGTCTTGTAATATGTTAAATTAAGTGTGTACACATACACGTACATACTGCTCCTCCACAGTGATCACCATTCATGAAAAATAAACTCGATGTGAGACAGTGTGGATTTGTCCACACACTCGAATGCTCGGAGCGCGTGCTTTTAAAGAATGGGATTATTGAATGTTTTCAGAACCATACTGTTTCATACGGGAGTGGACAGCTGTGACCTTGTGCATGCTCATTCCAGTGATTTCTTCATGGCAGTCTGAATATGCAGAGGGTCAGGTATGCATCGTTTTTAAACCACAGCAAACTTTCCATTTGCGGAAAAAGAGAAATATGTGAATACATTTATTTACAAACATTCATATGACCCGTGGGGTTTCGTCTTTTACAAAATATATTTCTGTTTGTTTAGTGCTGCTCGATACTGACTTTGGTCTGTATGAAAAAGCAGCAGTTCGATATACAAACACATTCAGTTAGACTGATCCACAGTCATTTAAAAAAACATTTTCGCTCTTATTACCCTATTCCTTCTGTCCTCAGCTTTGTTTGCTGGATATGCTCAATAGCTGTTGACTCTTCCAACTACTGTATGTGTCCATTCGTTGTGCTAATAAGCAAAGACGACATCGTACGTCATCTGATGTCCATCGTCCCATGCGTACAGTTTCTTGTCGAGTGGGCAGTAAGCCAGCTGGGAGGTGTGCGCATGCATGTTCGTGAACGCCAGGCCCGGCATGCTGTGCGTGAGCGTGTGTGTGTCGAAGGCGTAGGTCACGTTGGCGTAGCGGTGCTCCATGCTGTTCACTGCGTAGAGGACGCCGCAAACCAGGAAGCTGTTTCCGTAGCGACCGCGCCGAAGACCTGTGCGGAAGCTCTGTATCGGCTGCAGGTCTCGGTGGCGGAGGTGGATGAGCAGAGTCACTTCCTGGTGGAAACCCTCTGTGTCCAGAGCGGGGTAGAGCAGCCACAGGCCAGACTCATCAACAGCAAACTCCAACTGAAAAATATAGGAAGAGTTTTAGAAACTAAAATACAATCATATTTTAAGGCTATAATTACAATATTTTTCGATCAACATTGGATCATGTGACTATTTGCATGTAAATTGTGTCGCTCGAAGTGATAAACCAACAAATAAAGTATCACCCAACTCTGCAGTTCCCACAGCTCTACACCTTTTTGCTGAAGGGCTGAGGATCTACCCAGAACCCTTTTCCTCCAAAGAACCCTTTTTGGAAGAGAGAGTTCTTCAATGATTGTTGAAGGCATGGGTGTTAAAAGATCCTCCCAGCCTACACCCTACAAAGTGATTGTGAGCCATGATTGTTGTGGGTTGCGGTGCACCACAATGCTGGACGTGGTTCCGTCGGCCTGAGGCTAACCTGTTAACTAAAACCATGGTTAGGGTAGAGACAGATCTACGGGATATAAAAAGAACTGTGAAGGGTTCTTGGTAGAACCCAGGTTGGTTCTAGATGAAACCCTTGAACTATAAAAGAGTTTTCGGTAGAAACCATAAGTGTGTTCCGGTTAGCACCCTTAGAGGGTGGCCAGTTTCTGGATCAGGACATTGTTTGCCTAGCTTTGCATAAAGACTTGAAGCAGGGGGTAATAAGCTCACTCTCTAACCCATTGTGACCCAAGCCTTCATTACAGTTTGTCATTTTAGGAGTAGTTACGTGGTGTATGTATTTTTTTTGTTTTTCTATAGTCTTGATGTTACAGTGAGGTTGCCACATTTGGTTCCATTGGGGCTGTACAGAAACTTAAACTAAAACCTTCGCTCACCAGCTGTATCGTAAACCCGCATTACGAACACGCTATGAACAGGGAGCAAAACTACAGCAGTTGTTTTTACTCCTCGCCATTTCACCTTTTGAACTCCAGTGATTTGTAGTGTTTTTGTTCCCCACACTGACCTTTATGACCCTTTAAAGTGTCCCGATTGTATGTTCCACTAATAAATCACCGTGCAGTGTTTCTTGTACAGTTAAATCTCAGTTACCACCCTCACGCAAAGTACACCATGGGTCTTACTTCAGTTTGTGTCCTGTGAGCTTGCTCCTCCAGTATAGCATCATGCAGTGTGGTCCAGGCAGCTACATATCTGTGTCTCAGGTCATATCTGATGACGTCCCTGCTGAAGGCACGGTTGTAGTAGAAAGCTCCATTAAACACGACGTGGCCGGTTCCAGTGAAACTGTAGGGCAGCTTGTATGAATTACTCGCCTGACCTGAGCAGGAAGCACACACAGAAAACATACATGCAACTGGTCAGGCTCACAATTCACATCATGACCTTTGGAACAAGTGTAACCATGACTGCATATCAAGATGTGATCCACCCATCCAGTAATGAAAGTGTTTTTGTAGTGATACTCAACTGGCTCTTTTTTACAGCCACTACAGAGATGGACCTTCAGTTAGCAGCTGTCACAACAATAGACTGTATAGAAGAAGTGGACGTAGTCCCGGTAACGTCATCCATTGCTTTGTGGACTGACGTTTTGAAGCCTTGAGTTCGTTATTTTTTTTTTGTGGAGCAAAGTATAACTAAACGCTGAATAAATAAATAACCAAATGAATAAAACAACAACCAAACTGTTACGCTTCACTTTCATGAACTGAAAACACAGTGTGAAAGATTTATAATACGCCGACAACGCCGTAGTAGTGACCTGTCAATCACAGTAGCCCCGCCCTAAAGCATACCCTGCTTTATGGTCTATTTGACTCTAAATGGACCATAAATGAACATCATGCTGTATTGAAGAAGACTTGAAACTAGAGATTGAGACCATAAACTCATGTTTACAATGTTTACTGAGGGAATAAATCAAGAGAGAAGTAGAGTCATTTTCTCAAAGACTTCTATACAACCAGAGGAGTCGCCCCCTGATGGACATTAGAGAGAATGCAGGTTAAAGGCCGTTCCTTGGATTCACTTTCCAGTCCTGGAAGTTGCTGCTTGCCTTCCGAACACACACACACACACACACACACACACACACACACACACACACACACACACACACACACACACACACACAAATAAATCCTACACCTGACTTGAAGGTGTCCATGTCTCGGAACTCGAAGAGGTTGTTGCCATAGTGACCATTAGTAAGGTAGATGACGTTGCCGTGGCCGCGCCCATCTCTCATCCAGGCTCCGTCACGAAAGCCGTAAGAGTTCAGTTGAACCGGTTCAGAGATGCTGGCTACTGTGTCCTTACACACTGCTGAAGAACACACATGTAAAGGTGACACTATCAATCAAGACTCGACTATAACGTGATTAGTATTTGTCAAAATATGTCCACTCACTACCGGATAAACTACAGTACTGCATGTATCCCTACCAGGTTTTTTTGTGGTCTTTGGTTGGTCAGAGGGGCTCTCCGTCCAGCTGAGTCGACTCCTGGATCCCGGCTGAGAGTCTGCCATGGGGGACTTATCGATGGGTGGACCTGCATTGGTATCTGAGAGTGAGGTGGTATGCTGATTGAAGCGAGGGGTAGACAGAATAGTGGTTGAAGTTTGTTGGGATGTAGTTGTCGGTTTGGTTGTCGTTTGTTTTGGAGCTGTTTGCGGTATGTTAGTGGTTAATTCAGTCGTTAGTTTGATAGTGGTGGGAACTGGTTTGGTTGTAGGTTGTTGGGTGGTAGTCGTCAGTTTGCTCGTCGTTGGTTTTGAAGTTGTTGGTGGTAAGCTGGTGGTTGATTTATTCTTTGGTTTGATGGTGGTGGGAACTGGTTTGGTTGTAGTTGTGGTTCGTTGGGTGGTAGTCGGGGGAGCAGTTGGTTGCTGGGTGGGTGCAGGCCTGCTCAGTCTCCTTGATCGGTCCTCAAAGTCTAGCTGTGTGCTAACTGTGGTTGAAGGTCCTGGACTCTTGATGGGGAAAGTCTTGGTAGGTGGGAGAGACTCACGAATCAGTAAATCCACTGAAGCAATTGCAGTTAGAGTTGCTGTAAAATAAGTAAAAAGAAAAATAGCAGTGAGGACATTTTGGTTAAATTATAATTTTTTTCTACCTGCCTGCTGGAGCTGAACACAATCCAGGTTTTTTATTGAAATTGTGCGGCGGTCACATCCTCTTTCTGTTATAGATATTGCTGTGGTAAACAGAGTTTTGCAATGAACTCTACCTTTCAGAAGATCATATTGTTGAATGAGATTGCCAAGACCTGATATGATTGTCCTTAGGAGGTTATGGATGTCCTCCAAGTGGAGTGCCATCAAGTCGCAATATCTTTTCGACATAATGAGATATAAAAGCATTACAGTAGTAAGGGTACGCTAGACTTACAATTTTTTCCTTTCCCTTTGTCGTCCTTCTCTTTGTAGCTCCCTCCCTCCGCCTTGTAAAAGGTCACGCCCCTGATGACCACGCCGTTCTTGTCTGTGATAGGCTGCTTTGGCTCCGTCTTGTCTTTGATTGGCTTTTGAGATCCCGTCTTATTCCTGGTCGGCTGTTGTTGTTCCAGTCCATCTTGCTGTTGGTTCTTCTTCAGCTGACCATCAGAATTCTTCTGCAACAGAACAAGCAAATTCCTGCTTAATTTAAAAATAATTTGGGATTTTCAGGTGAGATCGTGAGTTTGCTTCTGATACGTTAGACTCTGATTTTCAGACGGTTAATACCTGCTTGTTGCCGTAGGCAGCTGCTCCACTTTTCTGTCCTGCGCGCTCCAAATCATTCACTCTCTTTTTTTTCTGCTGGACCTTCCTCTCTTTCTCCTTTTCTTTTGCTCTTTCCTTCACAAGTTCTTTCTCTCTTGTTCTCTCACTAGCATTACGGGCGACAGCCTGGAGTGCACACACACACGCACACACACACACACACACACACACACACACACACAAGATAACAGCACATGAACAGCCCATCCTAAACTGGATTCACAACATACTCGATGGCAAACTACTTAAAGAATATGGCAACAAAAGGAAATAAAAAAACCGGAGCATATGAGTGCAGACATATAACTAATCCAGAACTTTACAAGACTGCTGTGTCACAGGAATCCAATAGCTAATTCAGCGTACTTCTGATGGCACTAGTTGCCAAAATGTAAACACATACAGTATAGGCTCAAAAAAGGAGTTGCAGTTGCCTCGATTGTCATGGAAAATATGCTCTTGATAAGACACTAGCACTAGACACACGACAGACATGAAGGATACCAATCACTTTCTATTCTAACATACACATATTGTGTTGTAAAACCCCACAGCAGGAGTCTCCTGAGTTTACAGGCGACTCCAAAGTACATCGGTTTTCCAGTGTGATGAAATCAGACAACTTGTCATGTTGTCTATGAGGAGTATCTTTGGTCAAAATACTGTGCTCCTATTTGCTAAACGCAAGAATTTCCTAAAAACAACAATGCATAGAGTTAAATAAAATCCCTCTCAATCATTATGAGCCACTAGAGGTGTGTGGTGGTGATACAAAGTGGCAGAAAAGGGGTTGTTACGTTGCTGTGACAACTAAAACCAAATTATATAATTGTACTGTGATTGAAACAGGTTGAAAACGTTTAAAAACATTCCCCCTGCTGACTGCAATCATACTAATTATGGCGATTATAATTATTTCCCTTGTCCTGTCACCGAAAAAGACAAGTGTGTATTCTGTGATTGGAGCTTCTGTCTTTGGCTAAAGGAAAGCCTGAAAAACTCCATTCAAATCCTTCTGTCATTCTTCCTAAAAAGAAAGCGGACTTTTTTGAAAGAGAGTTTAGAGTTCCATTCCCTCCATGCAAGACATTCACCTAAAGTTATAGCGGATGATTGTGCTTGTTGTGTGTGGGCTCACCTTCTCCATGTTGTCCACCCTGGTCAGCAGCTTGGTGGTGACAGAGTGGAGCTTCAACAAGTCCATTCCGTACAGAGAGCCCTCCAACAAGTCAATGATAGTCGCCAGCTAAATGGGCAAACCCACAGAGGTGAAGGACACAGAAAGACAACACATTGATTGGGCCGATGGGAATCGTTCTTTACCCAAAGTTCAAACTCTGCGAGAACATCTCTTGTCCTCAATAGCCAACAGAAAAACAATTATATGACGACATTGTTTCTACCTTGATGTCATCTTTGCTGGCCTCTTGCAGCTTTTTAAACCTGTACTCTCCCTCACAGGGGTTGACGGCGGAAGGCGGAGCCATGCACACACACTTCTTGCAGTCCGTTCCCTTGGTGACCGTCTCCACGGTGAAATAATCCTGGGAAGGCGACGGCAGGTCGCTGTCGTGGAGGCGGCTGCAGTCGGAGCGTTTGATTGGTCGGACGATACAGCGGCACACGCAGTCGGACCCTGACGACACGGTCTTCACTTTGTCGTAATCGCCCAGCAGCTGGAAGAGACGGACGGAGTTAGTTTTATTATTTAGGCTGCTCAGATTTAACAGAAACTTTGAAGAATTAATACACAAATGTGAACTTTTTACTCAACTTTGATATGAATGTATATTTGATAATTTGTATTAGTCTCTATGTTAAATATTAAGCACAAATATTTGAATAAAGTAAACACATTTAAAAAAGAGTTGCATGGGTGATGATTTGCAGCTGCAGCAGTGGTGACCTGCCTGAGAGGAAGATATACAGGCGTTTACCAACAGAACCTTTTTGGTTTGGAGGATATTACATAACCAACCACCAGAAGGATACAACCCGTTGCCGTTGCGCGCACACACACACACACACCCACACACACACACACACGCACACACACACACACACACACACACACACACAGGTCTGGGGCAGATTTACACGCCATTTGAGCTGAACTGACCAATTGTGGGGTTTGGAATACGTTTAAAAGGAAAATAAAGTATGGTCCAGTTGGTGTCCAATAATCACTCTCATTTTTACATTGGAAATGAGAAATGTATGGTTCACAGGCAACACATGTCCAACAAGTGCTTTGAATTCTCGTGTGGTTTTCACTTGATGAAGTGGATGGAAACTTGTCCTGAGCTCAGTAACCACTGAGATGTGATCTGACACACTGTCGGCGCATGAGATCAAATGAAGCCTCATGGAGGGAGCGGAATTCAAACTGGGCTTGGGTTGAAGTTCTGCCAGTTTAATATTGCCCACTTTTATCAGGATTTGATTTTTTTTGCCAGCTTGGCCCATAAAAAACTGGGTAATGTGAATAACACGTTTAAACTGGTTCGTAAGTCAATTGACTGATGCCGAATTAAAGGCTGCCTCTTTAATGTAAAATACATGTGAAATCTTTCACTGCTAGTTTTGTGCGTATGATTTACGCAATTTGTCATCAAACCACGAGTTTGTGTATGCAGTTTGGCGATAAAGGATATTTGGTCACACATACATTACACCGACCTGGCTAATGATATTCTCTTGGTTATCCAGCTCTTCTTCCAGAGGCTCGGCGGTGGGCTGCTGAACTCTCCCCTCCGCACCCACAACAGGAGCGTCTCTGTCCTGTTCTTTAGCCGTGGAGGGAGCATCCTTGTCCGGTTTGCCCATATCCGCCGCTTCGGTCATCAGCATCGTCTCCCGCGAGGGGTCGTCGCTCCTGTCCGCCTCCAGAGCATCAAGTCCTCTTACAGCACAGCATAAAAGCAGCAGTGACAATCTGCGCCACATCTCTCCACAGAAGCTCTGTGTCTCAAGTAATTATCAGGTAGTTGTATTTTTAAAAAGATGATCCACCGGCCTCTAAATGACCGTTTACAGGAAAAGAGTTGTCTACTTTCAAAACGTTTGCTCCAAGTTTAACCTGAAAACAAAAACTTAATTTAACACAATAGACTCAGTTCAGTTTATGTCGATGAAGTGTGTCAGCAGAAGGATGAATGAAAAAAGGACGGAGTTACGAATTGTTCAAGTATAAAATTCCGGAGACAAGAGAAGGAGCTCCAATTGGTTCCATGCGACGTGTCGCCGGTGAGACGGGTGGTACTGGCAGTGACGTACGGGACATGGACCTCCACACGGGACCCGGTCCAAACCAGGTCTGTGTTCATGCCCAAGAGAGAGAGAGAGAGAGAGAGAGAGAGAGAGAGAGAGAGAGAGAGAGCGCAGGCTCACCATGCATGTTTGGGACAGAGTCAATAATCCCTTAAAGGTACAGTAGCCTAATTTGAATACTCCATAGCGAACATTAAAGGCCCAGTGTGTGAGATTTAGTGGCCTTGAGTGGTGAGTTGCAGATTGCAACCAACTAAAGACCAACCACGGTGGCCTCCCTTAATTAGTTAGTTTTTTTTTATAATTTACACAGAATAAGCATATTATTTTGTTATCGCTAGACCCCCCCCCCCCAAAAAAAACAAAACAATTAAGACCGTGATGCAGATAGGATTGTCCTTTTATGGGGTATATATAACAAATGACACAAGCAAAAATGATAAGTGGGTTTGTCTTTTGAAATAGGCATATTTCCAAGACAACTATCAGAAGTACTCACTCTTAACCAACCCAACACATTGTTGGAGGAAGTGCACACTCTCTCTCGGCTACAAGCATGTTGTTTCCCCTGTTTTCTTCTTAACAAAAGCAAGGTGAAGGTAAAAACAAAAACCTATAAAGCCGATACAGATTTCTACCTTTGTTCCAAAAACTGCAGGTTTGCAGCGCTCTCTGGTGGACAGCAGGCGCAAATGAATAACTGACTGAAATCTCAAAGAGAAGGGACCCTTTGATAACGCTAGATGCTGACTTGATTTAACTCTAAACTGAAACAATTTCCTTGACATTAGTCCAATTAATTAATACATTTCAAACCTAAACAGACCTATGTAATATTTTGATATTTTCTAATTTACTTGTAGGTATACATTTGATGCAATTACGTCATCTCATACTTTTATTTTGAAAAACCCAATGTCCGGAAGTGGCGCATGGTATTTGGCATGCGCATAAATGCACCAGTGTTTAGCCGACGGCATTAAATTGTAAACATTAGCAATCCGGGCAACTTCTTTCTGTCGCTGTGATGGAAGTATAAGGTAAACCCCGTCTTCAATCTGTGTCCTTTTTCCTCACATAGTTGTCAACACATTCCATTTCGGAAGAGTTGATGTTAACTTATTTTACGACAGCATTAGTTTAGGTCTGTACTGATGCCGACAGACTCTCCAGCGGCCGCGGATGCCCTAAACATGTCGGCTAAGTAGGGGATGTCTTCTTATGTTGTTTCGTTTTGTTTTCATTGGTTGTATCGATTCACTTAGACACTCTACGTTTGTACTGGGTACTGAATCGCCTGTTGATTCCCCACCATAGTGCCAGCGATAGCACCTAGCTTTAGCATTACATCCTCAGCTCGTTAGCTAGCTACTGAAGCTCGCCGTTTTTTACTACGTTAACTCGGCGCGTGCATGCATTCCCTCTAGTAATATCATTAGTTTCTGTCACAACTGTCGATAAACATCACTGGAGCCCAATTCTGATAACGTTAGCTAGCTAGCTAGGTGGACTGTCTTGCATCCGGATCTGTCTATCTGCTGAACGGCTAACAACAAACCGCTAGCTTATCCCAATAAGTCGTTAATAATGCGGATAAAGCAGCTGAGAACCAGCCACTCTTGGGGAGCTGCCGTGTGTTAACGTGACATGAAGTGATGGGGCTGGCATTTGATCACAGAGCTGACTGTAATAGCAAGTGAGCATCTGAGCCGCTGTCTTGCTGATCACGTGCAACACTAATCGTTGTTTTCTTGCTGTCTCCCCCACTAACTAATCCCGATCTGTGATGAAGCTAATAACGTTAGTGTAAAGTTTTCTGACAACTGTGCTCCACCTAACTTCCTTCAGGGACAGATGAGTCCCAAAGTCTTCAGTATCGCGTCTACAATTATTTCAACAACAAATGAAGATGCCAAAGTTTATTGTGGGAAACGAGGACTCTAATTAAACCATCCACAGACTCACAATGCAGCTGTATAATGTATCCCATTCATTCTCTTAGCCTTAACCTCTTAACTGCACTGAATACAACAATAGATACGTTGTATTGGAATACTGTACTCAAAGCTGTTTTTAACAATAAGAGAAACCCCAACACTCACATTTCACACCTGAGTATACCTCGCAAACACATGTTACCACTGCAGGAGTTACATCTGTAAAATGTATTGCAGCTTAATTCAATTGCATGCAATGAATGGATCCTGTAGTTTTATATTGATTTTGTTTATACTGTGTAGATTCAACTCTATGGTCCTGTTTTGAGGCTGTAGAAGTGTTGTTGTTGTATTACATTGTAAGAGGTTTTACAATACATCCAATTCACGCATGTGTTCGGATAACAAACGCAGCTATAGCTTTAGTCTCCGCATGAGCTGCGGAGACTATAACTGTGTCTGCACACAACTGTACAGCATAAACTTTAGGATGGCAGGGTTTCCTGCACAGCGGCGGTATTTGATTGTAATGATTGTAATATATTGTACAGGTGTATCTAATAAACTCAGTGTAAGCAAAACGGATCAATCTGATCTTGGTCTTGTTTAGAGAAATGGCTACGAGTCAAATTCACGAGGTGTGGCACAAACTATGACAATACAAAATAAAGCAGTCAGCGTGCCCTCACAAAAGGATGCCGTAGCTTTTTATCATCAGCAGTCCAATCACATCTTTTCAAATGGAAACATAAAAGTAGGTACCAAACTAAATGTTCAAATGTGAAAGGGCTTTCTGGCAAATACTGCTACATTGACTTTGAATGTGTTGAACTCCTTCTGTGAGTGGTGGACACACTGGCCCCAGGAAAGGTGTGATTTTGTTGTGCTGTCTTTGTAGGTCAACCCCAAGGTTTGGGACCAAACATTGCCCTTCAGTGCATGGACGCAAAGCCAATGCGCAGGTAAGTGTGCTGTGAAGGAAACTGTATACACTCCTTTGCAGATTGAGAAACATGTTGGTACTCTCTCTAGACTGTTCTACAAGAACTGTGTTTTAGTCAAAGCTTAGATTAAATGTGACCACCAAGACTCTTTGAGTCTGGACTCGGTTTGACTGCTTTTGTATCTATATATTGCTACGTTTGTCTTTTCTGTCTCTTTTGTTCTATTATACTCTTATCTCTGAATGATGGGTTGTATTTAACAGTCACATGTGGATGATATGTATCGCTATGAGCTTTTGTCTTTGATGCATGATTAAGATGAACTTCTCGTGGTTACTTGTAGCCCTCCCGTGTGTGTGTGTGTGTGTGTGTGTGTGTGTGTGTGTGTGTGTGTGTGTGTTGTGTCCAGTCATTGATGCGGATAGTGAATGTCGTTCTATTTATTCAAGGAAAACTCACGTAAAAACTCGCATAAGCAGACTAATCCCTGCCATACAATGGTAGATGGACTTGTACTTGTGTAACGCATTTCTAGGCCTACAGCCATTTAAAGCGCTTTTACACTACATGTCATTCACCCGTTCACACACAGATGGCAGGGGCTACCATCAGACTAACTAACATTCACACACCGTACATACAGCCTTCAGGAGCAATTTTGGTGACCTGCTCTATCACTGAGCCTACAGGTCTGCCTTGATTAAAGACTACTAGTTATTGGGGTTCCTACCCAGAATCCCCCCCACCTCCCAACCCCCAGAGTACTGGATGGATGTGACCCAGACGGCAACCTCAGATTGTGAAAAGAGAAGCCAAAGCTTCATGTGTCAAAGCTGCATTCTCTCTACTGACCATCAGGGTCCTCTGGTTGTATAGAAGTCTATGAGAAAATAACTTGTCTTTTCAATACAGCATGATGTTCATTTGGTGAGCCCTTTGCATTGCTAAACCTTTAATATAGGCATTTGGCTGCTGTCTGACATGTTAGTGGCCCAGTGGAGGGATGATGTTGATTTCTAAACCGTGGATATATTTTTTTAATAAACATTCATTACAACAACAATACAGCTTTTCTTTAATACACTGTACCCACTGTGCCCCGTTAGTGTCAGTTCAGCACCATCTGCAGAGCAGCGCCCCACACTAAACTCCTCTATCAGCCTGCACTAGTCTCATGTTTCACCTCTAGGATACACATTTGTTCATCATTTACACACAGCCAGACACAGAGGGGGTGCATCAGTTATAAAGCAGTCTGAACGCGCAGTCGGACTGGTCAGTAATAGAGGAGTTTGTTCCAGTGTCTAGTTTAGAAGCTCCTGCAGTGCTCCGTTTACAGTGATGCAGCGAAAAAAATAGGTGCCGAAATAGATTGGACTCCAATCATCGGCTTTTAGGTGGCAGCCCTAATCTAGATGCACTGCAGGGTCTGTGTACCTGAAGAAGAAAACCTCCTCAAATTTGAAAACAGTATCTTTTTAATGGAACTTAAATTTTGAGGTATGATCAAATGGCATTAAACTCCAGCATTTAAGAATTTCTCTGCCACAAAGCTGGGCGACTCACAGAAGACGGGTTGAAATGAATGGTGACAATCGAAGCAGCTGAGGCAGAGATCACCGACATTTATTTAATCCGTAGTTTAAATTAAGCTTCAAAAAGGCGAAATGCTACCTTCCATCCATTTCATCATGCAAAGCCTGTCATTCATGAGATCCTCTCTACCTCGTCTTTGCCCTCTTCTGTCAAAATGCACACCGTCAGTATTTCAGTTAGACATTTTAATCCTCAAGCTCCTCTCTTGTTGAAAAAAACAATAAAGGATTATTGTACCATATTTCCTAAGGCCTATTTTGAGTTCTACTTTCAAAAATGAGAATTTCTCTCAGGTCTCGCATCATAGTAATAATATAATAATAATAATAATAATAATAATAATAATAATAATAATAATAATA